ATTTCTCAGAAGACAAAGGAAACACAGTGATTACCGTGTGTCGATATTTAATTGAAAGCAAATAATATATTTATCGCAAGCCAACATTCAACCAAATATTTATTTAAATATTGTTCTCACAGAAGAGCGGAATTTCGATCAGAATTTAAATCCGAAAAGCCTGGAATAACGTTCATACTTAACGGATTATTATTATTAGAGGTCTCAGTCGCGAGTCTCGAACTCGTCAAACTGCGTCAAAGGGTTAATACAACAGTGGCTAATCAAGATTTATTAACAGCAGCTGCTTTCGTTACCTTCTTGCGTCTCGCGGATCGTAACGGAGCTCGGCAAACTCGATCGATCCTAATGAAGTTTCGTCTAACCGAATATAGATCGTAACAAAGTTCGGCTCCTAACTGCCCCTCGATCGCAATAAATATCAATAATCCGGAGACCGGGCGTTAGTTCTCGTTTCTAATCGCGCGTTTTCAACGTAAAACGACAGGCGGGAATGGTCGCGCATAAAGTGCGAGCGACAACGATCGAAACAAATCGCGAGTACACTCAGTTTCAATGGAAACTAAACAATCCCGTAATCTCCCCGCCCCACCGCCCCCCTCGCCGGGGAACAGAAAAATATCTATACCGTTGTAATTCGATCATACAACGTTCCGCCATCACCGTGGCAGCCCCGATCCACGTAATCTCGGATTAATTAAAATTTCCTGCGAGCAATTCGGATTCCTGTCCCTGCGGATATCTGACAGCCGCGTTGATTTAGGGGTTCAATAAAAATTCCAAAATGCTCGCGGGAAAGATCGCGCGAACGCGAACACGCGACGCGTTCTTACGAGAACGTCGGATACTAACCGCGGATAATATCCGCGTTTTTAATCGTTGCCTGGTAAACTGCGTCTTCTGTCGTCTGAAAAAGATAAAAAAAAATTCGATTGGTTTGGGCCACTTTTGAGAAATATATCACGTTATCGCGCGAAGAGCTTTCACTCTAAAATCAGACATTAAACGAATCAATTAATTATATCGAACCGTTTAATGCGCTCGTTGATTTGTACATAAGAGCAACGCTTCGAAGCGCTTTTAGGTTAGTTACGATTAATAATGTTTGGTGAATAAACGCAATTTTAGGTTAGGCTTGTAGGTTATGTCGCTGCGCGTCTTCCGTTCACGCGTCTTTTATTTGCTCATCGATCTGGCTCAGTTTGTCGCGAATAACGTGTTTGTTATTGTTTCATCATTCTCCAGTCGATTCACGTTATTATAAATTACATTAATATTTATATTTAAAAAAGTGACGAAGATGCAAATAGTGATTTATTTTTAATGAATATAGCTTATTGATTCAAACTTTTCAATTTCTAGAAAATCACCGATCATGGATTACTGATGCATTATTGCATTATTCATTTACCAAATAAAGGTATTATTATAATTTAACGGACACGATAATCACTGTACCGATAAATCAATTTAGTATATAACCGCGTATCGCATAAATTTTAATTGTACAAATAACCGACAATGTTCCCGGTCGCACTTAGTTCAGTGGCCTACAATCAATTTTCTCGAATTTTCCGTCAACTTGCAAACGAAAATGGACAATTTTGGAATTATTATATATTATTATATTATTATATATTATTACATTATTATATATTATATATTATTATTCTTCGAGGCTCGCGACTCATTTTTATAGCTGCCGATCGTCAACGATCACAGCTTCCCGCGTGCTGTGTCTCCAAAAAATTTTTTCGGCGAAAATGAATTACACACGAAAAAAGTAGAGATTTCAGGCTTCAAAATGAGTTTACCCTCGTTGCTCTACGATT